AACTTGGAACACTGTCCGGGACGTTTTAGATTAGTATTCCTTTGATAATTATGACCATTCCCATTCATCCAACCAGACTTTACAATAAAGGAAGCGGAATAACTTCAATAAAAATTATGATCCCATCCCATTTGGAGTCAATTGTGTTGAGGTGCGTTCGATTCGTGAACGACATTTTGTGCTGCAATCCGTGCATTTTCTATTCGTATATTGTGAATATTTTCTGCGAACGAATACTACCTTGCAATTCTCAGCCATTTTTTTCGTAATGCACCTGCTGTATGCTGTTAAGTTTGAGTTCGTATGTTTAGGTATTATACAACGTGCAATCCTGTTGCGAAGGGCATGCAAATAATACTTTGCCATACTTTCCTCATCGACCGGGTGAACCTAATGGAGTTATCTCATCCCCCTGACCTATTACCTGTTCCAATTTTGTCAATTCCTGCAAACATGCACGAGGTATAGGGACAGATGTCGGAGAGTGTCGTGTCGATAGTTGTGATGGGCACGAAAGGTTGAATCCGGGTACGAATATACATCAGTATACGAGTACATATTGTTGACGAAGGAATTCTGCGAAACGGCACGCATGCCGAATTTTTCGCTTTCGACCAGCATGGATGGAGTTTGTTCGGCAGATCCGGGTTTTCTGAATGAGGCTGACCTGCTGAGAATAATGAAATCCCTTTCGAATGAAACCCCATTATAACGGGTGTTATAAGTCCCCGTATTATTATTTTTTTTTCGCTGAAACTTAGGTGAAGAGTTGAAATTCTTGTAAGGGCGTATGTTCAAGTTTCCGTATATGCGGCGAGAAAAAAACACGTTTTCTGATCCCCCTCTAATAGGTAGTCTCAGCAGCAGATAGAAGGTTATTTACAGGAATTCTGAGGTTCACAACAATAATGAACATTTCAGCGCAGTCATTGTCAGCGTTGTTGAATTTACATTTTCGCTGAAAACCATATGACGAAGCCATGGGTATTTTCAGAGATTCTCGGACTGCGGGTGGCGTTGGAGTATTATACTGTAATAAACTTCGAAATTGCTTCATATTCCTTCTTGTTTTAATACTTTCTTGTTTAAGTCTGCATCTTTTTGATAAATTGTTAGGTTATCCACCCCACTTATGATACAGTACATTTATGGAATTCATAATTGGTCCAACGTTGTTGAACGACTTTGTTGTGCTGTTTTTTCGTAAACAAGTATCGCAAGAAAAACAAATTTTAGTTTTATTTGGTGGGAAAATACCGGTTATTTGCAAAATTCGTGTCGCAGTTATTCTACTTTGAAAAGTGTTGAAGAGTAAAAACCCCGTATGTTGACAGATATTACTGTAGTCCCACTTCAGTATACTGTACTTGAACTGTGTCTCATATCATAATTTCCTCTTGTTTCACAGAAGACGACGACTGCGACGGGGCCGAGAAACCTGCTGCCGGAGGTCGCTCTGGCAACGCGCACATCCAGCTCTGGCAATTCCTCAAGGAATTACTTTGCGACGGGAAACACTACGGCGCCTGCATCCGGTGGCTGGACAGGCCCAGTGGCGTCTTCAAGATCGAGGACAGCGTCAGGGTCGCCCGTCTCTGGGGCCGACGCAAGAACCGACCCGCCATGAACTACGACAAGCTCTCTCGCTCCATCCGCCAATACTACAAAAAGGGCATCATGAAGAAGACGGAGCGATCCCAGCGACTCGTCTACCAATTCTGTTCCCCGTACCTCAACTAAACTGCCTACTATTTTGAATTCCTTCTCATCGTTTTCCCGGTTCGAGTATACATGTCTGTTTTTTTGTTTTTATTTTTATTTTCAAGTGTGGAGTCGGAGTTGCTGAGGTTCATGGCGCGGTTGTACCTGAGGAATTTTTTTCTCCCAACGGGGGTAAAACCTGTTCGGGATGATATTAATATTTTTTTTTACATTCGCGTTCGACTGGTGGTAATACCGTCGCGCGGATGATGTTTTTTCCTTGCTTGTTCCTTCCCTCCTTCGTTGTTTCGCACCTTTGCGTTGCCCGGTTGTGGCCGAGCGCTGCGAGAGGACACGACGCTTCTTTGGTGAAGCGTTCGTTTGTCCGACCCACGCTGTGGCTGGGGCACGGTTTGACCCATATATCTATGATATATCGTTTTGAGTAAGTTCTGTGAACGCCTCCATCGGATTGTAGAAAAAATTTTTTTGTGTTGATTGAGCCGGTAGAAGGCAGAGATTTTTTAAAACTTGTGTGGTTTTTTGTTGTTCTGGCCGTGGTTTTTATTTTTTTTGCGGTTCGCGATCAGCGGGAGTTTTTGTTGATTCAAGTCGTAGTGTCCGAAGCGGTTTTTTTTTGGGTGGACCCGAAAAGGCTGCCGGTCATCGTCTACATAAATGTGACTTCTCCTGGGCTTTGTGGATTCGCGTATGTTTTTGTGTGGAGATTTTTCTCGAACGAATATAGGGGATCGTAAGGTGTTTTTCTGAGATCTCCGAGTGTGGACTTTTTAGTGTGTTGACTGTCCCTTTGTAGGTGCTACTGTGTAAATTACTTTTTTCCGGTCTTTATAATGGATGTTAAAACGTGTCTCATCGTCAGGAAAATTTACCGGTTGGGGAAATAATAAAGGAGTCATCGTTTGCATAATTTTTGCTTCTTCGAAATTACTGCACTTCGTTGGAAATTATTTAGTGTTGAGGCTTAACCCACTTCAAGTACAGTATTATACCCGATGGACTATGGTCCATAAATGGAGCATGTCGTTTTATGGAACGGTATATAGACGACGTGTCGTGTCACTGGCTGAAGCATTTTGAAGAAGCTTCCGAGAACGCGCATGCCTTTTGCGGAATCACTCAAATGGAGTCATGATGCTTCATTCCACAAGTAGAACCACAATAATTTCCTTAAAAATTTCCCCCACAACTGGCGGGAAGGCGCGCAAACGCCAATGCTACCCCAGAAATACAATTGCTGAGAACTTCTCATCGTGTAATCGGTGGATGTAAGAAGAGGTCAGAAGCTGATCAGTTTTGTAGCCGATTTAAAGATGGTTGGTTTCCAAACCTGATGATGGGGATGCCTTCACGCAATTCAGACCCAGTGGTAATAGGGTAGCCTGAACTGGCCATATGATCCAAACAGTATAGATTGGTGCCGTTTGGTTTGTCTGGATGAGGAGTTGAGTTTGAATGGTGCATCACCCTTGCAGCACGATTTTCGTCATAATATTCCATGGAGGAGCCCAGACGGTCGCCTTCACTACATAAGGGGCTATTCACTTCCACCCTCTCTCCTAATGTTCATGCAATCCGCGCCAATATAGTGCGTGTATCTGAGCAGGAATTTATTGTTGAGGTAAGTTGATGTTGAAAACTTACTATTTATATCAAGCCTGATGCTGTAGCCTAAACTGTAAAATTTATTTGAAAAGGGTGTTCTTAGTTCTCATATGTGCCATGTTATTTTTCATTTGCTCTATATTATAGAAGTCTTCCCAGAAAATACTGTACTGTACTGTACATGCCAGTAAATCATTCCAGTTGAAGATCCCCCAGGCCATTTTTCTGCCTTATTCATCCTGCTGCTGCTTTCGAAATTATTGTATGGTGATTCTTTCATCACCTGTGTTAAGAGCTCGCAAAGATTACTTACTGTGTTGCGATAATAAGTTTCATTTTTTCAATGATGTAAAATGCTTTCCAACTGAGCTGGAATACACAAACCGCTCCTGAAAGCCAGTTGATAGAAGGAAAGAAAATATACCCCTTGTATACTGAGGAAATATATTTTCTGCAATATTCAGACAAACATTCGTTTATTTTACAAAAGAGGAAAATTATTTGGGGAGCAGGTTGAATGAGCGCCCACCCGAAACCTCAGTCCCATTTCACAAAAAGGAAGAGTGGAACGTTTGTGGATAGAGAGCAGCAGCAGTGAAACATGGCGGCGACCGGTGAAATAGTAGTGAGGTTTCAGGTGGGCTGGCAAAAGTCTCTTAAGTTCCGAATTTCGAAGATGCCCGGAGAATGCGCGCGCGCGGGAATCACTCAAATGGAGACCTACTTTGTTCCATACATACAACGGTTGGAATTCGCGCGCGCCGGCCGGGTGGCGCGCGAACACCGATGCAACGGCTGAAAGTTGCGTAGAACCGTTCACTGTGCAACCAGTGGAGATGGGAATAGGTCGGAAGTTGTTGAGACTCCGGATGTGTGCAGGGTTTGAATTGGAAGTATTGTTCCGGTTTCCCCGCGAATGAAACCGCAGTGCTCATCGCGTTAAAGCACTTTAACCCATGTGTTGCCACAACTTGTAGGAGGTAGCATTTCATACGAAGTGATGGAGTGTGTTCAGTTCATTCAGGTACTGTCCGTACGGTAGCAACGCTGCATCTTTCAATAATCGCCGTGTGTGGACACGTGTGATTTGCTTTGAAGATTCCCTGCTTGATTGAGTTCGCGGATTATAATGCTCGATTCTAATGATTTAGGACAGACAGGATATTGTATCATTGTTCCTTTCTGGCGAAATTGTCACTGCTCAGCAACATTCTGGTTATTATTCACCTACGATGGCGTCGTGTTTGTGCAGTTCTGAAGAACCTTGCCGAGAAAGTGTGTTATGAATTCCCGTTTTATTACGTAGGATTTGGGATACTTTGTATCGTATTCCCATTTTACAACCAGTTTTCATAGTGGCAAAGTTGTTCGTGTTACCTCCTCTGCAGCCTCTAGTCCAGACACAATTCGAAGCTGCTTGTGAACAAATGATGGTTAGTTCGAGTGTTCCTTTTCTCGTCTTGATCGAAATTTGAGCGAATTCATTTTTTCAGGACATTGGAATATCAGATTTCACTATGATCCCAGGCCAGTCTCCTTCGCCTGTGGAACGTCTACCTCCAATTGGATTCGAACGTTCATTGAGCAATCCATCCCCTACTTTGACTCCTTCGTTGTTCACCCAGACAACGCCGAAAGATCGGTGCAAGATTCGTCGTGCCAAGTTTTATGACAGAATGGAGTTCGTCTGTGTTCTGAAACAAGTCGTTCCTCGTGGTGTTATTCGTATTGTTGCTTCAGGTGAGTTTCATTCTGTACTTGTTACGTAATCCTCCATAAGTCTAATTCAACTTCTGTTTTCCTTGCAAGCGTTCTTTGGACTGTGGTGAGACGAATTCTTGTCCATTTCGCTATGTATTCTAATGTGTTGCGATTTTCAGATGAATGGAAATTTCCGATCTGGAATGGGAACCTGGATGAATCCGCGACGTTGCCGCCACAAATGCTCGGTTCCTCGTCGCCGTCGGATGGGTTTACTAATGCTGCGGGAACTGCCTGGCATGCGTCGGATACCTATTATGCTTTCAATCACAAGGAAATACCTAGGTGCGCTTTTCGTATGTTCGTCGGCGGAATGCCGAACTCGATGTCAGCGAAGCAGTTGGCAACAGTCCTTAATGACATTTTTGGACACGTCGATTGCGTAAGGATTCAGTTTAATCCTGGGAATTCGAATCCGAGCCGTTGTGCCACGGTGGATTTCTGGCACGTTGCTTCTGCCTTTGCCGCCGTCTATTACCAAAGAGTAATTGTTCGTACTTCGGAGTACTGCAAAGCTGTGAGTATTTTTAGGAAATGCGCAACTTCGTTTCCGATTAATGACCCTGTTCCACTGTTTATTCTTGATCAATGTGTGAATTTCGGCCTTAGACATTCTGTATGGCACATAAGTTATCTAATTATGAACATCACAAAATCAGAATTGTTCCTTAAAGACGCAATTTTGGTCAGTGGGTCAAGTATTCATCGTGTTGCCGCTTTTTTTCAGTTGAACATTTATCCCTTCATCAAGAACAGTGCGTGGTGTTCGCACTGCCGGGAAGTGACGTATGAGCCGATTCTGTGTCGTGAGGTGGCGTGCATGACAAAGGTATTATGATCGTAGATTCTCGAAGAATGTATGAAGGATTTCGTAGTAAGGTGTATAACTCACCACTCATTTATAATATTGCAGTATATGTGCTTGATGTGCTGGAAGAAGTCTCATCGTCAACAAACCATGGGCCGAGCTGACCACGAGCCACTCATGCGTCACCCAACAGAGGAGGTGAAGAACATCCAAATGTGGTTCCGGTTTCCACCGTCTTTGCTAGAGATGATCAAGAACAGCGTAGAGTTTCCGGAGTATTTGGCTAAGATGAGCGACGCGAATAAGCCAGTTGCCCTGCAAGATCCTAACGTCGCCGAAATAATGGCTCGTATTGATGGCCACGATGTCCTTTGTCATGCGTGTCACGTTTCGCCACCGCCAACTGCCATGGGTCTGCACGATTCTCCGCGCATTAACTCTGACTATTATGAAGGGATATGGAATGCTTCTACTGCTTTGTTGCAACTGATCAACAGCCAAAGTTAAGGTGTTGGACGCAATTCGCGGAAGGAGAGGAAAAGACTTACGTAACATAACACTTGAATCTTTCGACTTCGAGAAATATTTCCAGCAATGTTTAACTGTTGCAGTTGATGTTGAGTTGGTTCCCGAGTGAAACGAGTCCCATTCCGAATGAATGTGTGCGAAGAACAGAACAAACCCTGTAAGCTTGGATTTGGATCTGACTAGGTGTATTGTGTGACTGGAGTCTGCTCATCTCGCGTTATCTTTGCTTCGTAACAAGGTTGATCGGATGTGATACGAAGTCCAGGGCGTGTCAGCAGCGGGGGGGCGTGTTTCTGCTCTGGGCCATTTGACAGAGCCAGTCTTGCCTGTCCCCTCCCCCTGGTGCGCGTCGCGAATCTCTTTGCTGCTGCTTAAAGCGCTGGCCTCGTGGCCAGATTGTAACTAAATTTGTTCTGACGGGCGCGTTTTCCCGAGCTCAAGTTTGAATCGATTATTACCCAGTATTCCAAAAGAAACAAGGGATTGTGTTGAAAAAATTTTCGTACGCCTGCGGTGTGGGAGTTTGGAATGTGATAAGCGTTGGGAGGTTTTGCCAGCTGCACTTCCGGAATACTCGCAAGCGAGTGGGCATTGTGGGCGGGTTTTTACTTTCATTCGGGTTTTTTGCCGTTTTTATTAGAGAAATCGGATTGTGATGATCAATGCTGACATGCGAAGTTCTACCGTCAACCCCGTTAAGCTTTTTGATTCGGGTTTGCTCCTAGACGGGCTGGAATTGTCAGCCTTGTGATAAGCCCAGTTCATCACACGGGGTTTGAACCGATATGACATGACAGGTCCGCTTTTGCTTTAACCTCTTGACGCGCCGTGGGGGGTTTTTTTTTGTTCCGATCAGGGTAGCCAAATCATGTTTCGGTTTTCAGTTTGTGGAGATTTTTGTTCTTTCGGTTTTTGTGTGTGCGACTCCCTTGAGATCTATGTGGGAAATTTTTCTCTGACGGAAGGCGGATTCGGAGAATGTACATATTGTAAGGATGCGTCGTTCGGAATTTTGAAAACAGTCGGATACAAGGAAACGAGAAAGTAAAATTTTGTTCGAAATTTGCCGAGGGAAATTTCAAGACGAGAAGCAATTGGTCATGGTTTATTGATTCATGGTGATTTTTTTCAGGTCGCCGACTGAATGTGGTGCCAGAAAGCATGTCTCTCTGAGCTATTGACAATCTAGGAACACTCTGAAAAGGCTGAGCACACATCGATCCTACTTAATTTTCTCTATTTCGGAAAACTGGACTATCTTTTCTCAAATGAAATGCGTATCATGTGGTGCCACCCCTCTTGTCACATTGAACATGTCAAGATGCCACTAATGCGAGGGGGTTGTTCGTAAATTTCTGAGGCTGATACTCCTGCTGTATGTTGTAAGTGAAGTACAGTATTCGGAAATCTGGATTATTTGCTGTGAAGATACCTACCTTCAGAGCAGGCTTGACGTGGATGGCAAATCATTTTTGATCATGCCTCATAGATGTCGTTAATTTGACGCGCGCGAAAGTAGATCCCTTCGATGTTCGTAGAGGGAGTTAGTTGTCTGGCTCCTGACACATGTCCGTTTTTTACTGCAAGCATCCAGATTCGCATGCGCCAGTCTGAAAGTGACTTGCGATTATGGTGCACGCGAGTGAGAGGGTCACTCAGAAGCCTGTTACTTTCATTCCCCCGCACCCCCCCCAAGTAGACTTTTTAATTTTCTTTTCCTTCTCTTCATGTTTTCCTCAGTAGAGCAGCCTTACTTATTGAGGCTTGCCCTTTTCCACTTTCTTCCTTCATCTTCTTGAATGGCAGTACAACTTCTGTGGCTTCATCAGGAAATGACTGATGTATACTCAGAGGACAATTTTATAACATTCTGCTGGGGAGAAGGCAGATACAATAGCTTATGGATTAAGCTAAAGATGGACGGCTTTTCGCATATGAACTTTTCAGAAAGAGGCAGACAGTTATATCTTTCCATTCAAGTCAGCTATCTGATGAATAATTCCAAATAAGATTAAAATTGTCCGCTAATTTGAAGTCAATGTTGTGGCTTGTACAGTATAAGCAAGCATAAAATCTGGACTATAGTATTTTTTTTTTAGCTATAAGTGCTGTTTTGGGTGTTCTTAATCTAATGAGATAAAATTGTATCACAAAAACTTATGGTACAGTATTTCAAAAACAAAAATTGTATTAAAACGCCATGCTCCAGACAAGAGAGCATTGAGATTATTTTGGAAAGGATATATTTTATTCATCTTATTTTAAATGAAAGTGTTCACTTGATGCGGGGTATAACTAAACATTTCAAAATACAGTATAACACAATGAAAATAAGTATCCTTTCTGGTGGAATGATACATGTTGAAATGACAGTGTTACAGTATATGTGCTGGAGGCTTTTTAATATTTGCACCTTCCCCAAAAGCTATACAGTACTGTATTGTGAATATAATTCCTCACCTCGTGACACACCCAATGATGGCCTTGCAAATCGCGAGCTGTTGCGTCTGCAATCGGATCACCAATTCATCAGTGAACCTAATGCCTTCCCTTCCTGTCGATAATTCCGTTTTTTTTAAAGTTGTAAATTCATTAAACTCTGCTTAGAGCTACTAGTCGTGGATTTATTCTTAGAGGAATCTGTCGAAAAGTTTTCTCACCAACTTCAGGTAGTAAATGTGAATAAAAAAGATCAGAATAGTGCACTACTCCCTAACCTCTCCTCCTCGTCACCAGCAGTGGATGACCAGAAACCCGCGAGACACGCTTTCAGTTTTTCCTGCAAGCCTCGGAGCTCGCATGCGCCAGTCTCGAAGTGACTCGCGAGTCCGGCAGTCCGGTGTGAGCTCGTGTGTGAGGCGGGTCCCTCATCCAGTAGTGCGTAACTTTCTTTTCCCGAGTAGCCCACTTTTTTCTTCCTTACGCGTGTTCCCCAGCAGAGCAGCCTTGCTTGACTTGTGCCCTTTTTCCACATCCTTCTTGCAACTTCTTGACTGGCGGCTTATTTTCTCCGACGAGTTTCGTGGCTGATCCGATGTACTAGCTACTCTTTCATGGGCTAGGATGAGGATGATAATTTAATTAAGTGCTTGTGAGCTGTGCTGATATCACGTGGCGACTTTGCGTGGATTATACAGGCCTGAAGGAGTGCGGATATTGAGCTTGCATGAGTTTACCAAAAGCGGTGCGGGTTCTTGTACCCGCGTTCCTCGTCCTGGTGCTGCTTTGGATTTCAGCCGGTGATGGTAAGTTCGTTTTATGATCACGTTTTTTCTGGGCTAGCGGAGATTATTGAATTATTACGCGATTCTGTGCTGAAAGTCCTCCAACTGAGCTGATGAGGTAGGATCCAAGCGTTTTACTTCAAAATCTACATGTTCTACACTGATAACATACTTTCTTAAAAATTCAAAGACATCATCTTTTCTGAATACTTGTAAATTTCCGAATGATCACGGGATTTTCCCAGGAACCCCTTTGATTTTTGCATCCCGAAAATAATCTTGGAAATTGTATGGCACGGCTATTAAATTATATTACTGTACATATCTTGATGCCTGATTTTCCTTTTTACGGAGGGCATGGATCTTCTAGCCTGTGCTGAAAACGTGTTTAAGAGAGAAAGCGTTTAAAAATCCTGATAGGAAAGCAATTGTGGAGGACGGAATGGCCGACCGAGGAAGTGGAATAAAATTCCCTTTCACTGTTGGCGAATACAATGACAGGAGGTAAGCAACTGTGGATTTCTTCCCGGGAAACTGCCCGACCCGTGCACATGACATGTTCGATCCGCAGAACGCATCAACGACGTACCTTTTTCTTCCAGTACTGCTCGTTGACTTCCTTGAGAAGGCTATTTCATCCTTCGTAACTTCCTGGGGAAATTTTCACAGAGTTCACTGAAGTGATTAAGAGCGGTAGTTGAACTAAGAGGGCCTTTCCAATATTTCTAGGACTTGAAAAGCAAAACAGTTGTAACACGATTACTGTACAGGCAATCATTCTAATAGGAAAAGTAGTGGCAATTTTTGTCTGTGCGAATGCAGCTAAGGTTTACTTCTCAATTTCAGCATGAATTGGGGATCATAGAAATTTATTTTCCATCTCATTTCTTCATCCTTTCAACTGGTCATATACTGAGCTCATTTCGAAGTCTTCACGAACCAACATTTTTACTGAATAATTTCTAGGTTGTTCTTCTAACTCGGTTTTTTCAAATTATATTCAGCTTTTCGATTCCTCGAAGTGACAAAACGAATACACACAAACGCAGATGAAATTTGCAGGATAGTTTTATCCCTTCAAAAATCCGAGCGATGCTTGAATCATGCATGACATAGACGCAACAGGTGGTGAACTCAAATGTTCTAGAATAGTCTAGATGCGCCTGGTAGACGCAAAAGAAATGCAAATAATGGAGATTTACAGGCTCAGATGGACGAAGTTGTTCAAAATTTAGCTCCGCGAGAGAAAGTGCAGTATGATTCCATCACAGCAACCCTCAAGATGCGGAATGATAGGTGGTAAAAAAAAGTACCGATCTCCGTGTCGATTAAGTACTGACATATCCACGAAAAATAGTGCAGGCACATTTGCTTTGGCCGGAAGCGGTTGTCATGCTATTCTTCTTCTCTGATCCGCCATCCCATTAACCATTAATTTTAATTTATAATTTTATTTATAATTTTTTCTTGCGAAACTGCGACGAAGTCGATGAAATTTGCAGGTCTATTCTGTCAAAACAACTTTGTGAGGTCGGATTTCGAACAGAGGTTTTCTAGACCGGTTATTGAGGTTTTCAACGCATTTTATTCCCTCTAATATTGGGGATTTTTGCTGTGATTGCTTATCACAGGATGCAAAGAGAATTCAATCGACTTCTTCTACTCTCCAAATCCCATTGAAATCCATCAATTTCCGGTTGGCTTTTTAATTTTCTTTGCGTACTTTCAAACTGTGTGAACCGGATGTTGAACCGAATACTTTAGGGAAAGCGTTGAAAAGCTTTTTGTTAAACGAAGTTAAGATGGATATCAGATTGAAATTTTGATAACAATTCAGGTTTTATATTATTCTGACATTCTTCATGCCCCTAAAGATCTTCTATCAAGTTTAAAATTGTGTGAACCGGATCTTGTGCCAAATTCTTTACATCATGAATTTAAAAGCTTCCTGAAAAAGAACTTCATTGTGAAATTTTCCACAATAAGCGGAAAATCCCTGTCGCCTTACAAGGAGCTTTGTCATGGTTAGGGAAAACACAAATGACGTTCACATCCATCATACGCATTATTCATTTTCAAGATTGAACAATTTTACATCAACATGAAGACTTGAGCAACGACATCTTTCATGAATCCCAAAACCTTTCATGTTGAATAAAAAAATTGCATTTCAAGCCGCATGCGTTTTTGACCGACCATGACTTTCACAAAACGTTTTGTGGAACGCGAGTCCACATATCCTCAATTCTAGGAGTTTTGAAACTACATTATTAGAAATTTAGACAAATAAATACAGTAAATACACCACGGAGTCAGCAGACAACAAACTTCTGGATTTGAAAAGAAAGCGCCGGGTCATCGACTGACCCTGAAGGAATTCCTCGCCACATCTCGCCTAACTTCATTCTTGTTTCACTAGTTTTATGAGCTTTCTCACCGTATTGATTTTCTTGACGTCCTTTCCGTCACTCACGGATGAGTGTTGTTTTTCAATCTCATAATTTTTACGTACTGGTAAAAGTATGCAGAAAGGAATGTATGCGAACTTTTCTTTACCAGCAGAAATATCCTCAACGTACTGAACTTTATCCATGTGGGAATCAAAAGTCTTCAATTTTCCTTAGTTCCAAACGTCCTCAAGACTGACAGCAAATTGCAAAATCATACTCGAGTTTATGTTCCCCACGCGCAAGGTTTTAAATGAAATTCCCGTAATTGAATGATCACGGATTGATGGGAAATAACGAACCAAAGCACTAAATTAATTCGATGGAGAATATTCCGCAAAAATAAACTTTTCCTTGTAACCTTTCCAGAACCCTGATAACGGAACTTAAAAATTCATAAATTACCTGATGGATGACCTTAAC